TATTATTAGTTGGCGCCGGTGGGTGCGTGGAGAGTCCGGTCGTTGATCAGGTAACTTACTTCTGCTTTGCATCTTTGCGGGAGCTTGCTCGGGCTGATTAGTGATCGATATGACGGAATTCCAATTGAGATAGGTTTAGGGTATCACCTAAATTCTTTGCGGCCATGCCGGCGGGCTCGTTTCGAGGGATCTCTTGTTTGTTATCAGTCATTGAATAAGATCGATCAAAGCGAGGCCCCCGCGATGGGCGCCAACTGTCTCTCTGCGAGAAGAAACATGATGTGTTGGGTCCACTGGATTGGACTCGAGGTTAGGGGCCCCTTGATTGTCCTATATAGTAGTCTGATGATGATGATCTGTATTGGGTGGCGCTACAGTCACACCCCTAACCATACCCCAACTAGGGGTGTGCAACGGTCGGGTCGGTTTGGTTTTTACCAAAATTTGAACAACCGAACCAAACCGTCTATAATTCAAAACCGAACCGAATTGTTGCAAGTTGGTTCGGTGCGGTTCGGTTTGGTTTGTTCGGTTCTAACTTCATCAAACTTCTTATCAAACAACAAACTGTGTTAAAGAAAAAAAAAGATATCAACAAAGTAGGAGATTATGAAGCATTAAACACTGATATAATGATATTGTTTTTAATCCATAATAATTCAGAAAATGAGTTTAGGGTTTGAGTCTTTGACTCTTTAGGGACGGGTCGGGTAGGGGTTGAGATCAGAATGGGTAGTATTGCACTATATTCGGTCGGTTCGTGTCGGTTCGGGTCGGTTCGAGTTGAAAAGTTTTCAAACCGACCCGAACCACCTCATAAAACCAATTTTTCCGGGTCGGTTCGGTCGATTTTTTCGGTTTGGACCGAACCATGCTCAGCCCTACCCCCAACCACACTCCTCTCTCGCTACAGTGTACTGGGGCCCACATGAGAATTTTTTAAAATTTTTCATGTGGACCTCAGTGCACTGTAGCGAGAGAGGAGTGTGGTTGAGGGGTGTGCCTCTAGCATTTTCCATCTGTATTTGGGATTGCCTGCGAATGTGAGGGAAATCGCCAGATTGATGAACGTGCGGGTTGCCCACTAGGGCCCCTTCGATGCATAGGTGAAGTCTCTTGATGAAGAAGACTAAACAATACGAATTCAGGCTAGGGTTTTAGAGTGAGGTTCATGGATTGACATCGACAGCGTTGATAAATCAAGTACGAAGGATCCCTTACCTGGGTATGCGATAGCAAATATATATCTATAGGGATTTGCCTGGTCAGATTAGGTAATACGTGTGCCACCATCCTAACGGTTGTGGAACTCCTTGTTGATGCAAGAGAAACATAGATATAAAGCTAAAAGAACATTTCATGAAGATTTTATTTTTTTAAGCGATTTAATTTTTCTTTAAGTTGACATCCTCAGTTAAGATTGAGCTTGCTATTTAATTATGATTGAAATTTTTATTTTGTTATGATGTGTCATTGGATCTTATTTATTAGTTAGGATTAGACTTTATTTTATTCCCATATAAGGGGTTGTATTTCTTTATTTTAGGGGGAGGAGAGAAAAATATTTGTGAGAAACCCTATATTTGAAGCGCTCGGATGCGAAGCTCTTCTTTTCTATCTTTTCTTCTTAAATGAAGAGTATAGTTTTAATATTTATTTTTTATTTTTATCCAAATAATCAATCTCAATAAATCACTATGATTTTGTTCCTCATCAATTAGTATCATAGCCGAAGAGATCCACCATTGATAATATAATTGATAGTTCTTCAACGCCATGCAATTTTAAACTCAAGAATGCTTTAAGATGGAGAGATTTGAAGCAGGACACATCAAATATGAATCTGAAAAAAAAAAGATTTGATGAAGATTTTACTTAGGAATTTATTTTTTTAAGGCATTTGATTTTTCTTTTAGTTAAGATCTTTAGCGAGGATTGAGTTTTTTAAGTTAGGATTGAATTTTTTAAGTTAGGATTGAATTTATTATTTTGTTAGGATGTATTATTTGATCTTGTCTATTAATTAGGATTAGATTTTATTTTATTCCTATATAAGGGGTTGTATTTCTTTATTTTATAGGGGAAATATTTGTGAAAAAACCCTACATGTGTATTGCAACTAGTATTAGACATGCGAGTTGCTGGCATGTGACGTTCCCGAATATACGCCCATTGTTTGCATCTTTTTTCTTAAATAAAGAATACAATTTTAATATTTTTTTTTTATCTAAATAATCCCCTCAAGTGATCTCTACATTCCGTTCCACACTATTAGGCATTGGCATGCAAGTAAACCCCATGTATTCTAACCTCGTTGGTCGAGGAAGGTTTCTCCTACGTGTGTATAAATTCAAGTTGCTACGGTAATTGTTAATTTATAGGGACTATTATCAATTAATATCCCTTAACATGGAATGTTAAGGATATTATATGATTATCCTTAATTATCCTTAATTAGACGAGCTTACATAAAACTTGACTGGGCTGGAGCGAGGCATGAGATCTAGACTGAGATAAGAATAGCTGTCACGGGTCATGACCACCTTATATGGGCTTGTTAGGCACTGTTTGGCAACCAAAAAAAGTATCTTATCTAAGAGCTTGTGTCTTATTGACTTGGTCAATAAGCTAGTAGAGCTGTTTGGTAACCAAAAATAGAAGGAGATTATTTTGGAGATTGTGTCTTTTGCAAGTAGCTTTTGGAAAGCTATTTCAAGTAGCGTTTGTCTTTGGGAAGGAGCTGTCAAATTTTTTCTTCCGTTTTTGCCCCTAATAATTTTAATTTTATATTAATAATATTGCATGACCTTTTTAGTCATTTAACAAATTTAAGCTAGTTGTACAGCTTCTTTTGCCAAACAGCTCTAGTCAATCAGCTAGCTACACAGCTATCAGCTTTCAGCTATAATTTCACAGCTTTCAGCTAACTTGACAGCTTTCAGCTATAATCTCGCAGCTTTTAGCTAGTTTTGCCAAACAGAGCCTTAGTCGGTCTTAAGAGCCGAGAGTTGTTTAAGATAGCTACATGCACATGTTCTACACTAGTGGCGTTAAGTTTTTTTCACCTGACCGCTGAGTTGTCTGCTTATGTGGTATGATTCGCCTAATCCGAATGTTAAATTTCAGTTATATACACAACAATTATTATTATTATTATTATTATTATTTAATAAGGGTTTATTTTCATAGGATTTCTAGGGTTTGTGTTGTTTTACTCGTACAGAACGGGGTGTGCTTTATTTGATCACACTTCCGCTACATCATTGGGAATAGAGAAAAAAAAGAATAATCAACATTATAAAAGATAGAATAATTAGTTTTATAGTTTCTCTTATTATGCACTTACATACTCTCACTTGTTTTGGCAGCACCCAAGTATCCTAAAGTTTTTAAGTTGTATTTTAATACTCTATACTACGCAACGTGAGAATATTCCACTGAAGATTTCCATATGACACGCACGCGGTAATTTTAAAACTTTTAACCCTTAATTCTTGTTAAATTTACTGTTAAATCCACAATAACTCTATTTTAAAACTACCTTGTTTGTATATATTTTAAAATAGGGAAAAATGCTTCCCACCCCCCAAGACTTTGTCAACGGGTGTTTTACCCCCAAAATAAAGATTCTGTTCTCTGAGCCTCCAAAACACAAAACCCAAGACATTAAAATATGTGAAGACCATAATACCCTTCTCTCTCTTTTTTTTATTAAAATATGATGAGCATTATTTTATTATTTTAGTTTTTTCTCTCTCTTTATCATGAAGTATTGAGATGATAGTTGAAATGATTGATGAGAATTATTTTATTATTTTTGTTTTTTATTATTTTGGTTGTTTGTATTTGGAGATTGTTAAAGTTACGGGTTAATTGTTAAGGTTACGAATTAATTGTTAATGTTACGGGTCAATTGTTAAGGTTATGAATCCTCTCTCTCTCTCTCTCCTTCTTTTTTTATTAAAATATGATGATGATTATTTTATTATTTTTATTTTCTCTCTCTTTTTATCATGAAGTACTAAGATGATAGTTGAAATTATTAATGAGGATTATTTTATTATTTTTTGTTTTTAATTATTTTGGTTGTTTGTATTGGGAGATTGTTAAAGTTATAGGTTAATTGTTAATGTTACGAATTAATTGTTAATATTACGGGTCAATTGTTAAGGTTATGAATCCTCTCTCTCTCTCTCTCTCTATA